CCCCTATCAAAAATTGCATTTAGAATTTAAAGACAAACATATCTAAAATGTCTCAAGATGTATTTTTTTCCACTGCTTTCTTACTTGATTTGAGAGAATCTATTCCTGCAAATATAAATGTTGCTTTTATCAATTCAAGCAAAATGTAGCCATAGTGATCTGGCTCGTTGACATGACTTTGTGAGACCAGCCAGTTTCAGGACATGACATTGTAAAACAAGTGAAAATACTGCACTTAAGTATTTTGAAGATGTAACTTTTACAGAAAGTACTTTGTCTTTAAAGCAGGTATTTCCTTTTTACTGTTATACACTTTTGAATTAGATTGCAAAAGTGAAAGGGTGTTAATCCACACTGTATATAAAGCGGTAATGTTTACTCAAACCAACCTTTAATGTATTAATTCAGTGCCTTCCGGGCGTTTTTGAAAGATTTCTCTGATTTTCAAGACCCACAGAATATAGTGTAGTACAACTATGTGAAATGTTGGAGTTTTGTGAAGGGAGCGCTGTGATGATGACTGGACTTTACCGCTGGCTCTTGGTGTGGGCTCAGAGATGGTTTCAGTATTAGTATTAGTTTTGGCTTGTCAAGTGAAAAGATTTGGGTGCCCTGGTCAGTCAGCCCAAAGCATCTATAGTGGCATCATGAAGGCAGGCATGTTGTGGTCCAATTTAGACATTTTATTTTTTGAGACTCTTTGTTGGTAAAAAAAAATGACTGGTAAACATATGAGAGTCTATATGTTGGGGTTGAAGGACAGTTCTTCTAACCTTTGCTAATCATTCATGCACACACCAGACAATGTCTGTGAAGTGTCTTTCCTAAGGACACAATGACAGTCCAGCTGCCCCACTGTGGCACCTGCTCTTCAGAGATGTTTGGATGGAACTCAGCCTCTAACGAGCTGTGGCTGCTTAACACGAGATTGTCTCCATCTGGTGGACCTACGAGTGCACTGCAACATTATATAATTATAAATAAAATAATCGAGCGTTCAATGGAATGTTGTTTGTTAAGTTCAATGCTATTGTTTGTATTTTTTACAGTAACATTAAAAAGAGACCTGTATCACATCTGTAGTCATGTACCATAATCTGTAACATGCAATAAAATACACATTGAGAGGTCAAATATGCAAAAAACTAAACAAGTGAATCTAATTCTAACCATTTTCTTCCACTTTATTAATTGCTGAGTCGCAGGAGCAGCAGTCAGAGTAGAGATGGCCAGACTTCCCTATCCACACATACTTCCTCCAGCTCATCCGAGGAAACCCGAGGAATTTCCAGACCAGCTGAGGGACAGGTTCCATCCAACTTGTCCAGGGTCTTCACCTGGTCTTCTCCCAGTGAGACAGGCCAGGATCTCCTCAGGACGGCCTCTGTGAAGGAAACTCATTTCCACCTCTTGTATCTATGATCTAATCCTTTTGGTCATTACCCAAAGCTCATGACCAAAGGGGAGGGTCAAGTTAATCAAGAGCTTTTCCTCTCAACTCAGCACCCTCTTCAACACAACAGTCTGACACAGCTCTGACTGCAGACGCTGCTCCCTTTTCAACACAACAGTCTGACACAGCTCTGACTGCAGACGCTGCTCCCTTTTCAACACAACAGTCTGACACAGCTCTGACTGCAGACGCTGCTCCCTTTTCAACACAACAGTCTGACACAGCTCTGACTGCAGACGCTGCTCCCTTTTCAACACAACAGTCTGACACAGCTCTGACTGCAGACGCTGCTCCCTTTTCAACACAACAGTCTGAAACAGCGACCGCCTCACTGCACACGCTGCAACAAGCTGTCTGTCTATCTTTCAATCCATCCATCTCTCATCGTAAACAATACACAGAATGTTCATCCTACATTTTAAATTCTAAAAACACATGTTAGCTATTGTTTTTTTACATACAATTTAATTTAATATAAAGTGAATTCCTAGCAGTGCTTTCTGTGGGTGAAGGGAGGGGTGAGGCTGGACTTAACAACTATGAAACCATTTTCTTGGTTCATTCATTGAAATTTCTGTGCTGACAAACTAAAAGAATACAATAATACACAAACAAATAATAAAATACTAAGGACTGGTTTAAACAGGTCTCATTCATAATATTATATGTACAATTGTTAACGAATCTAGCTATAAACTGACACAATATATAATCCAAACATCTTTTATTAAACTTAATTTGACAGTTATTGAATGATTTCATGCATCCATGTGTGAATATTGTGCAACAATGTTAAAACAGACTACAATGATGTTTTGGAACGTGACTCTTGCCTAGGCTACAAAAGGCACTTGTAACGCCACTGTAACATTATAACAGTGGAAATGTGCATGCTACAAACAAAAAGCTACACCATTAAAAACCTTGCATTATTATGAATGTATGAGAATTAAAATGTTCCACTTACCACCCTCATACTTTGCGCACACACACACACACACACACACACACACACACGCACGCACACACACACACACACACACGCACAGATGTACAGTATAATGCATAGTAAAATAGTAATATGATAGAGGAGGGCAGTGGGTAATTGTGCAAAGATAACATGTTTTTTGTAACTTTAGAGTGTCCCTGAGACTGTTGAGAGAATACTATGGTGTGGTTGAAATCAAACATAGTCTTTTCACGATACATTGTAAGACTAAGGTCTGGGATGGGACAGTTCTCACTCCCGGGTCCAAAGCAGCAGCAACACAGAAGTAAGCTCCTCGTATCAAATTTCTCATCATTCCATGAAAACGTGAGCATCTTAAAGGCATTTATTGAAATCTGAACAAGAGCTAGGCTCGTTAGGCATACAGCCATTTACTTTGGTGTCTGGACTAACGACAGCTCTGAAAACAAAGCAAAGGACAACGTTGTAGAAGTAGTAGTTACAATAGAAAAGTCATATTTAGGCGCTTTCAAACCTCCAGAATTTGGTCCACTTAAAATGAACAAAAGTCCGGAGTGCCCGAAAGCTTGGTTTGTCTGGACTGGTGTGAAACCGCCCCGTTTGATTTGGTCGGACTGAAACAGGGTGCGCAACACTTTTGAAGTGTAAAATTCAAGCACTTTTAATGTAAAATGGGGTCTTTATCAAGGAAACGACGCTTTAAATAATATAAACAATAAAAGACATACATTATTCAAATTGGATGCATTTTGGCCCAAGAAAGTGTTGCGGTATAACTCACTGATAACTAACAGCTAACAACACCAAAACATCTCTGTAACACTGAAGTTCAACGTGGAGAAGGTGCAGACAACTTATCAAATTAAATTTGTTGGTTAATTTATCACCCTTGACCATAGACCTACAATCCATCCTCGGCCATAGACCTACAATCCATCCTCTGCCATAGACCTACAATCCATCCCTGACCATAGACCTACAATCCATCCCCGGCCATAGACCTACAATCCATCCTCGGCCATAGACCTACAATCCATTCTCTGCCATAGACCTACAATCCATCCTCGGCCATAGACCTACAATCCATTCTCTGCCATAGACCTACAATCCATTCTCTGCCATAGACCTACAATCCATCCTCGGCCATAGACCTACAATCCATTCTCTGCCATAGACCTACAATCCATCCTCGGCCATAGACCTACAATCCATTCTCTGCCATAGACCTACAATCCATCCTCGGCCATAGACCTACAATCCATTCTCTGCCATAGACCTACAATCCATTCTCTGCCATAGACCTACAATCCATCCTCGGCCATAGACCTACAATCCATTCTCTGCCATAGACCTACAATCCATCCTCGGCCATAGACCTACAATCCATTCTCTGCCATAGACCTACAATCCATTCTCTGCCATAGACCTACAATCCATCCTCGGCCATAGACCTACAATCCATCCTCTGCCATAGACCTACAATCCATTCTCTGCCATAGACCTACAATCCATCCTCTGCCATAGAGCTACAATCCATTCTCTGCCATAGACCTACAATCCATTCTCTGCCATAGACCTACAATCCATCCTCGGCCATAGACCTACAATCCATCCTCTGCCATAGACCTACAATCCATCCTCGGCCATAGACCTACAATCCATTCTCTGCCATAGACCTACAATCCATTCTCTGCCATAGACCTACAATCCATCCTCGGCCATAGACCTACAATCCATTCTCTGCCATAGACCTACAATCCATTCTCTGCCATAGACCTACAATCCATCCTCGGCCATAGACCTACAATCCATCCCTGACCATAGACCTACAATCCATCCCCGACCATAGACCTACAATGGACCCTAGACCTATAACAGCCGCTGTCATTTACTACAGAGCTGCCCCAATTGCTCTGGTGTCAGAACGCGAAACGGGCTCGTCCCTCTATTTGAGAAGGATTGGTGTAGGCCTATCACTTTGAATATTTAGTTATTCATGTTGCAGGATAGCGAAAAATGTATCAATTAACTTTGGCATGGCTTTGCCAAACTTTGTACTACTCATTTCCAACTTGGCATGTTAATTTCGGCAGCGATACGGACGTACTGTCACTGAGCAGCGGGGTGTCTCTCTGGCGACACGCGTGTGCAAGAAAACAGATAGTCAAAATTAAGTTTTAAAAAGTACTGAATGCCATTTCTCGTAGCCCATAGTCCTGATGTTATATTAAAACACTGTACATTTCGAGAAAATCAAGCACATTCCAAACCTTGAAAACGCGTTATTGAAAATCAAGCATTATCCTGACTTTCAAGGATCTGTACGAAGCCTGATGAAAGGACTTCATTAAATGTAGATACATTTTGGTTCGCTTAAACTGGACCAAGTCTGTTTTCCCAGACGTGTGAATGTGCTTTGGCCCGACCCGGAAGTGCAACTTATTATTCATCAATGAACATCCCGAATCCTTCCAATGGACACTGGATAATGGAAATAATATTGAAATGTAAAGTTAAATCTCAAAAGTTAAAGTGAATGTTACAGTATTCCCTTCGCTAAAACATGGGTTTGTTGGCTCAAAAAGAGTCCATGTCCAAACTGTTGAAGATGGACACCGATATGGGACATTCCTGTGGTGCAGACGAGCCCTCATGGCCCTTCTCGTAGAGTGTCTGGTGCTCTGCTGGCAGGGCGGGGCAGCTCTGCATGGGCGTGCCGAGCGGAGGGGTTGGAGGGAACACGGGGGAAGGGCTGGGGACAGGCATGTGGTTCAGAGAGCTCAGGTTGTGTCTGGTGTCCTTCAGGCTCTGCTCCAGCTGAACCCTCTCCTGCAGGAGGCGCTCTCTCTCGCCCCTCTGCACACATGTACACACACACACACACACACACACACACACACACACGCACACACAAACACCAGAGCGTCAACATGGGAACAAACTGTTGGCACATTTTCTTCTAAACTTTACCCTAGAGACCCTAGAGTTCTGGCATCACTAAAGCACTAAAATCGAAAAAGCTCCAAGAGCAGGAATCTGGAAACAAATTATGTTGATGTAAACATCCTAGTTAATGGTCTTATTATTTCACACAGGACTGACCAGTGCTCTGTCTCACAGGACTGACCAGTGCTCTGATGTCTCACAGGACTGACCAGTGCTCTGATGTCTCACAGGACTGACCAGTGCTCTGATGTCTCACAGGACTGACCAGTGCTCTGATGTCTCACAGGACTGACCAGTGCTCTGATGTCTCACAGGACTGACCAGTGCTCTGATGTCTCACAGGACTGACCAGTGCTCTGATGTCTCACAGGACTGACCAGTGCTCTGATGTCTCACAGGACTGACCAGTGCTCTGATGTCTCACAGGACTGACCAGTGCTCTGATGTCACACAGGACTGACCAGTGCTCTGATGTCACACAGGACTGACCAGTGCTCTGATGTCTCACAGGACTGACCAGTGCTCTGATGTCACACAGGACTGACCAGTGCTCTGATGTCTCACAGGACTGACCAGTGCTCTGATGTCTCACAGGACTGACCAGTGCTCTGATGTCACACAGGACTGACCAGTGCTCTGATGTCTCACAGGACTGACCAGTGCTCTGATGTCTCACAGGACTGACCAGTGCTCTGATGTCTCACAGGACTGACCAGTGCTCTGATGTCACACAGGACTGACCAGTGCTCTGATGTCACACAGGACTGACCAGTGCTCTGATGTCTCACAGGACTGACCAGTGCTCTGATGTCAGATTGCAGCTGCTGTATGCCATCCAGTTTCCTCTTGCGGCAGCGCTGAGCAGCCATCCTGTTCTTGCTGCGGCGGCGCACGTCGTGGACAAAGTCCTGCTGCTCTGGGGTGAGGTGCTGCTGCCTCAGGAGCTGCTGGAAGGCGCTGCGGCTCAGGCTAGAGATGTGCTCAACAGGGAAGGGCAGCTGGATCTACACACACACAACACTCATAATGCTTCATACAGCACTCCAAACACTGTTGATAAACAACTATTGTCGCCACAACTGCCCTAGGGCAGACAGACAGAAGTAGGTAACTAGTTTGTGCCATCGGCCTCTCCTATCGTTGCTCAACTTTCAGTGTTATAGTGACTCACAGGGCAAAAGATCGCAAAAGATAACGACAGAAAGTGGTGGTCGCATTTGTTCAACATGTATTATTTGTTGAAAAAAAAAAAGTTAGGTTGCCTAGCTCTAATGGCACAAAGGATACAGGAACCCCTCCTCAGTGTATCTCTCACCTCAGCCGCCCTCCTCCTGTTGGCCTCAGCGTCTGCGTCTGCATCCATGTCCGTGTCCGAGTCCTCTCCGGAGGACGGCCCCTGGCTCCTCTCTGACTGGGACAGGCTGCCGTTCAGGGCCGGCTCCTCCCCCTCGCCCATGTCTCTGAGGAAAGGACAGTCCCCCATACTGGAGGTGAGGTCCAGCTGCTTAAGCCAGTGGAAGTCCCCCGCTTTGGACGCCTTGGCCTGCTCCGTGGGTTCCTGCGGGTACGGCTGCCAGATAGAGACGCATAAAGAGTGGACATTAGCTTAAATAACATGCAAGTTATGCTCTCTACACAAAAAGGTAAAAAGGCTTAAAAGCATTTTACTATTAACCAAAAGGCTGCTGTGTTGTGGTTCTTTCTTTCGTTGTTCTGTGAAGATGGAGAAAGTAGCAAGTGCAAGACTTGGAGAAGCCAATATTTTGTTTTTTTAACATGTAGCTGAAACAATTGCAGCAATTTTTGGATCTTAACATTATTTTAACCAGCCACTTTGCTCATCAGTGATATCCTACAAAACCATACATTATATATATTATATATATATTTTGGTTATATGCATAACCAAATATTAGACATTACATTTATCAAAAGCGAGTGAATTAAATCTAAATGTGATAAATGCTGTCTCCACTGTCAAAATGCGCAGTAAAACTAAGATCATGCAAAAATGGTAGAATATGAATGAGTTGTTCAGCCTTACCTGTGGACACAGCTCTGACCAGAACCCCTTCGCCAAATGCTCTGCCACTTCTCTCTCCACACTGCTCCTGTCCTCGAATCCCTCGTCTTGATTCAGGTCACCAACTGACGTCTCGGATAAGTTTGCCGACAAGCTAGGATCGAAGGTGCTTATGCTTAGGTCTGCTTCATGCCCTGTTTGCGGTCTGAAAGGACACTGGTCGCAGTTGGCACTTTCCCCTCCGAGTACCTCCACCGACTCGGTTGTGATGCTTTCCGATGCCGTCTCAATATGATCTTGACGAAGCTCCCTAACGTTCATTTTTGGAAGACCGCAATCGGCAAGTTCGCTCTGATTGCAAACGTTCCCCATGTCCGGCATGGTGTCGCGATCGCAGAACTGAGCAGGGTGGTCGGCCTTGCTGGAATCCGCGCATTGAATGCATTGCATTGGGCATAAACCGGTTGCCGACAAGTCTAGAGTAAGGGGTGTGTCACGGTTCACCAAGCACAACCGATCTTCTTTGCCAGACATCTGAGAACCCTCTTGTGAAGAATCGCGTTGATCATTTTCCAAACTAGAGGGTTGGCATGGCGTTGGTGGGTTGTTTGCGATTTCGAGGTTCAGAGCGGCGGTTTTCTTAGAAAGTACTTTTTGGCAACACTGCAGAGGAGGTTGCTTGGGCTCATAGAATTTGGGCAGGAGAAAGTCGAAGCAGGACGTTTCCAAGTTGTGGAAGCCCAAGAAGTCTGCACAGCTGTGGACAGCACGAATGTTCTCCTTGGTGAAGAGGAGCTTGGAGGTGTAGGCAAAGTGCAGCAGCGGTTCGAAGCCCTCCGCGGTCACCTGCAGAGAGGGCCAGGCAAAATAAGTCACTAAGTCAAAAGATGGTATGTTTTATCAATTTGAATGCTTTTAGCCACTGAAATTGTGTCAAAACTGTGAGTGGGCTTGCATTTCAACAAGCCTGTACATTTTCTGCTAAGTTTATGGTTTTAAACTTAGCAGAAGTTTAAAACCAACAGTGTTTGGAGTGCTGTATGAAGCATTATGAGTGTTGTGTGTGTGTAGATCCAGCTGCCCTTCCCTGTTGAGCACATCTCTAGCCTGAGCCGCAGCGCCTTCCAGCAGCTCCTGAGGCAGCAGCACCTCACCCCAGAGCAGCAGGACTTTGTCCACGACGTGCGCCGCCGCAGCAAGAACAGGATGGCTGCTCAGCGCTGCCGCAAGAGGAAACTGGATGGCATACAGCAGCTGCAATCTGACATCAGAGCACTGGTCAGTCCTGTGTGACAGAGGACTGACCACTGAGGGATA